AGTTCATCAAATTCAAGTTTTAGTAACCACATATCACAGGTAGAGTGAACAGGCATCTGCAGCTAATTGTTAATCCCTGTGCAGCATAAAAAGGAATACTAAAACAAAATGCATGTCTGTACTTTCAAAAGAAAAACAAAATGCACGTCTGCACCAAAGAGTTTGACATACAATTTGATTGAAGATCTCTCACAGGACTAAGCTTATCTTCAAATTCACTCTTCAATTGGATATGGTTCACATGGTCACCACAATCTAAAATGACGTTACCAGCTCCCGCAGAAGAATTAAATTGGGTGCCAGAATTCTTTATCTGGTCTGGCAGTTCCTTACCATCAATGCAGCTATGCAAAGGAGCATTTGCAGAACTTCCAGCCCTCTCCCTACAGCAAGTATCACACTCTGATAGTGGCACAGCTAACCAGTCTGATAGACTTGGGAAACAACTATTTACAGGATTTCCAATCTGAAGTGGAGCTTCCAGCTTCACACTATCAGACATCATTGCAAAACTTCCTGAAGTCCCAGACAAACACTGCAAGCTGATTCCCATCCTAGAATCTAAATGTTGTATGTGGTCTTGAAGATTGGACATGGAAGATCCTGGTACCTCAGCTCCTTTTGGAGGTGCCAACCCATATTCTTGTTTACCTAACAACAAATAAGCAATATGAAACAATAACAATTAGCACATATTTAATAGTTTGTTTTCCTTTATGATCATCAAAAAAAATATATATGTCATTCTTTCTATGATGATAATGGGAATAAAAATATTAAAAGCAATAGTGATTAAATAACAATGATGATAAAGGAAATGAATTGAAAACACCCCATCTTTAAAAACCTGTCACATCCCTACTGAATAGACAAAGAGAGCCCTCTGTACAATGATATTTTGTCTTTAAAAACATGTATTTTACGATTAATGGTTCAGGGTGTGCCTTTTATCCAAAACTGGATGTGCCCAAATCATCATCATCTAAGCCTTGTCCCAACTAGATGGGGTTGGTTATATGCCCAAATCACTTCACTAACAATTACAGTAATATTAACAACTAGGTGCCTCATATGCAACAAAAAAATAATTACTAAGAACAAATCCTATTTACCATTTTGCGGCTGGTAAGAATTTTCATGATTGCCGGCAAGAAGAGTTGGCTCCTGTTGAAAAGCACTCCTACATGGTAAATTTTCTGCAACATTCTGTGGAGGACACAAAAATTATTCAGATCTCTTAAAAAATTGGTTAAAAGGAGGGGAAAATAATTGGATGAAGAACACAGAACAATATGAAACTATGCATGATCAAGTATTCAGTTCAAGAAATTTATGTACAAAATATTTCAACAATAAGAAGATTATGTTGTTCTTAATTGCTAGAGTTTTATTATTTTTTCTTTATTTGTGTTTTGATTGATAATAAAAGGTTTATCAAAAATAAGAATGATGGGTCTTTTTTTCTTTGGAAGTAAGGAGTTCATGTAGAGAAGATGGGCCGAATGGCCCATAGGCTGTTACTTTATATTATCTTTATGTTCTTCTCTGTAATGGGCCTTATTTTGGGCCCATACTCTTCTATGTTCCTTTTTTTGTAATTTCTTGTCGAACTAAGGACCTCTCTTGTAATTACTCAAAGATTAACTTAATAAAAGAGTATTAGAGTGTTAGAGGGAGGATTAGTTCGAACTCCTCATCCTCTAACTCTCCTTGCCGCAGCTCTCTCTCTCTCCTTCTCTAATCTTCTCTTGTTAGTTTTTCTGGTTTTCTTGCACAGTCCCATACTTCTAGGACTGTTTTTCAACTGTTCACAAGAAAAGTTTTTTGGAGTTGGAGAAAAGGGAAAAAGCTGTTATTGATGGATCATATACTGAGCCAGATAATGCCATGGAAGAGGAATGGATTCTATTTAGCTGGAAAGGGTGGTCTCGATTTCCTTTAATTGGGGTAATGGGGTTGGGGTTTTGAGGCTGGTTGAGTATGATGCTTGAGGGCTAACTTTCTTATCCTTGATGTATGAGGCTCCTATGAACAAGGGCATGCTTTTTTTGTTTTTACCATGTTTGTTCTTCTTTCAGATGATTTCTTATCTTCCTTGTATTTTTTTTTTTTCTTGATAAATGAAGAATTTATTAATGGAATAAACCAAGAGGTACTATTACAGAGTACACTTGGAGAAGCACGAGCTGCAACCTCTCCATCCCATCAAAAACTAAAAAGGATTACAACTGAGCCCAATACAGATGTTCCCTCATTTCCCCTTGCTTGGCTAAACAATCAGCCATATAGCATTGGCAAATCTCCATCTCCCTACCCATTGTATTCTAACATCCAAATTCCTCGTCAAGCATTTGAATCTTTTAAGCTCATTTTTGAAGCACCAAACTGTAGTCTCTGGTTTTTGTTCTTCAATGAAATTTTATCTTCTTTCAGGTCTTCTCTCCTAAAGACCATGGGGACCTGGGGACTAATAGGGTAAAGGTTTTGAATCACACCTTACTGGGCAAGTGGATCTGGAGGTTCAAGATAGAGGAAGTTGGTGGAGAAGCTTAATTGATGCTAAGTATGGCTCGGACAGGGAAGACTGGATAGCTACTGATCATAGTTTTCAAGGTGCCAAGGCGAGGCTAGGCGACAAGGGGGCACCTTGCCGCCTGGTCGCCTAGGTGATGGATTTTTTTAAGCAAAAAATATATATCCTAGGGTAGTTCCATAGGTTCCATAACCATATTTCCTTAATAATTATCCATAATTTTCATAAGAAAAGTATAAACTTCATGTTGAAGTATAGAAAATCAACATATTCATGAGAAGAAAAGGAAGAAAGAAAAGAAAATTCAAAAAATATAGGGGCTGAACCTCTATTTTTGTTATAGGGAAGAAGAAGAAGAAGAAGCAAATGTCTTGATTAAACAAAATTTTAAGTTCTTCCTTAATGGTTTAAGTCTTCTTTGAGGGTTCAATACAGCATTTAGCAATGTCTATGTTGATAAAGGTTGTGTTCGGTAAATCTGAAAATCTGAAGCCTGAAAAGTAGAAAAACCTCTGAAAAAAGCTCAGAAAGCATTCAATGGAAAATTTGTTTTTCTGCTTTTTACAGACATTTGAATATAGTCGAGTTGTTCGGCTATCTAAATGTTGTGTCATCTGAAAAATATGCATTTTAAAAATTTACCCCAAAAAATGATTAAAAATCATGATATCATAAAATAATAAAAAATAAATATTAAGAAACAATAAATTAATAAATCAAATAAGACTCAAATTTAATAAAAAGATTAATATTATAAGTATTAATTGAACAAATGTTATAATATTTTATTAAATATTATAAAGACATTAATTTATTTATAGAAAAAAATTGGAATTCCAGAGAGAAAAAGGTAAACTATAAGTTCAAACTATAAATATTAAAAAATAAAATAAAGTCAGAAAAAGTGATCGGTGACAAGAAGAAAATAAAAATAGGGTATGGGAACTGGGGAGAAATAAATTTTGATTAGTTTTTACATGGGGCACACATAAAGTAAGCTTTTACAAAATCTTTTTAGTTGATTTTTAGAAGAGTACACCCATCTCATCTCTTCTTCATGGGCGGCAGCAGCACGAGAGCAGTGGCAGCCATTCTTCTCCTCCACCTCTCCCTTCTTTCTCACTTTCCACCTTTAATCTTTTTCTCCTCCTCCTCTTCCCCCATCTCTCCTCTCTACATTCCTTTTCTGCTCCTCTTTTAGAAAACACAGTTCTTCTTTGTTCTGTAAATGCAAAACAAAGTGGCCACCCTGAACAAGAAAAAACAAAAAACAAAGTGGCTACCATGAACAAGAAAAAATGATAGAGTGGCCACCGTGAACAAGAAAAAAACAAAAAAAACGAAGTGGCCATGGCCACTGTGAACAAGAAAAAACGAAAAACAGAATGACCACCGTGAACAAAAAAAATGATAGGGAACCGAAAAACACAAACATAGTGGTCACTGGCTATAGGGAAGAAGAGAATAGTGGGGAGACTGGAAAACAAAACGGTGGTCACTAGTCATCAAAAACACAAAACCAGAAAATGCAGAACAAACCAGAATACACGAAACTCGGAACAAGAGATAGTAGGGAGACCAGTCACCACCATTTACTTATGGGTGATTTTGGGTTTTTGATTTTCACACGGGGGCATGGTTGGAAGCAAAGTTTCGTCCGCTACCTCCGAATGCGCTCAGAGGTAGCTCAATCACTGAAGAATTCTGAGGTCTTTTCAGCATCCGGAGGAACAATTCAGAGGTGCATCCGAATGGCTTCCAACCACTGAAAAAGCAATATTTTCAGCGTTCGGAGGTCTATTCAGTGCTACCAAACGCAACCTAAACCCTAACAAATAAGAAATAATAAAAAAAAATTAGGATATAAATACACAAAATGAATATTTTAGTTTAATAATGTCTATTTTATAGTTATAATCTCAAACATTAAGAATATAAAAGCATTTTATAACATAGAGTCCAAAACTGCTTGGCGATTAGACGAGGTGAGACTCCAAGGGCGCCTTGTCACCTCCAATGTGTGCAAAACTGCTTGACAACTATGCTACTGATTCCCTCCCTTTGGTTGTTCGATTTGGTTGAAAATTATGGACCTCCTCCCTAGTTTTACAGAGAAATCAAGCCAAGGGTTGGAAATGGCTGTAGGTTAATGTTCTGGAAGGATCATTGGTATTCTAACCGTCCTTTAGCGGAGTTCTTCCCACAGTTATTTCAGTTAGCTTTGGACCAATTACTTGGGTGGTGGACTGTTATGATGTCCAGGGGAATAGTGTGATCTTGAATCCCTTATTTAGAAGGAACTTTCAGGACTGGGAGTTGGAGAGTTTTATTCAACTTCTTCAGTTGCTATATGGTCAGGTCATAGACAGTGTGGAGGACTCTTGGATCTGGAATGGGATTGTTGATGGATTGTTCCTTTTTTTTTGAAGGATAAAGAAAAAAGATTATTGAAAATAAAAAAGGAAATGAAATACGTCAGAGGTGATAAGATATCACTAAATAACAAGAACACCCTCGTACACCCAGTAGAAAAGTTTGGACAACCTATTTTGATATAAAATCTGTAAAAGAAAGAAGAAAAGAAAGAGTAGAAAAGGTTACTAGTTAGAAAGAAAGAGAAGAGAGATGGAAGAGAATGGAAGAAGCCAAGATTAGGTCCGGCCGCCCCTTTCATTAGATTATATACTCACAAATAAAAGTACAAAGACAAGTATGCCCTTAGTAAGTCAGCTACTTGTAAGAACTGAATAAGCACTCTTAACTTAAACATAAACTAATGGGCCTAAGGCCCAATAACTCCCTAACTATGCTATGTAAATAAAAACAAGTAATATCAGCCCAAAACTCAACACTCCCCCTCAAGTTGGGAATAAATGTCACACATTCCCAACTTGCGTAGGTCATGCTCCAGCTTGTTTCTTGCACCATCTTTTGTAAGAACATCAGCAAGCTGCAAGTCAGATGCAACATATGGTAAGCAAACTTCTCTGAATCTCACTCTTTCCCTTATAAAGTGTCGATCCACTTCTATATGCTTCGTCCTATCGTGCTGAACTGGGTTGTGGGCAATGTTAATTGCTGCTTGATTGTCACAATATAGCAACATAGGTTCTCCAACCTCAACTCCAATCTCCCCTAACAAGGAACAGATCCATAGGAGCTCTAAAGCACCATGTGCCATGGCTCTGTATTCAGCTTCTGCACTTGACATTACCACAACTGTCTGTTTATTACTCTTCCATGAAACTAAATTGCCTCCAACAAGAGTGCAAACTCCTGATGTAGATCTCCTGTCATCTAGGCACCCTGCCTAATCAACATTTGTGTAAGCCTCTAACTTCAATTGTCCATGGTCAGCAAACAATATGCCTCTACCTAGGTGTCCCTTTAAATAGGAAAGTATCTTATCAATAGCCTCCCAATGCTGAACACGTGGAACATGCATGTATTGACTCACTACACTCACTGCATAAGAGATGTCTAGTCATGTCATACATAAGTATAGCAACCGCCCCACTAACCCTGATACCTTCCAAGATCCTTCACTAGTTCACCTTCTGAAGCATCTATCCTATAGTTCTAATCAATAGGTGTATTGGCTACTCTTGCCCCAAGTTTTCCTGTCTCCTATAATAGATCCAAAACATACTTCCTCTATGAGATGAAGATCCCA